ATTGCTCCAGCACTTCTTCAATCCACAAGAAAAATCAACGTCGCCTGAACCGAGATGGCATAGAACCAACCTCATACAAAACAGTATGAAATCGGTGAATGCTTACCGAGTTTTGACTTGGCAATGAACTTGGAGAAAACGGAGATGTGATCTGCCGGTCGTCTGATGATTCCTTGGCTGCGCGATCCATTCTTTCGAAATGCAAAAGTCGTTCTTGAGCCGATATTTCCAAACACTAAGCATAAAAGAAGAAAAACGAATTCGGTAGATTGAACATGGGATAATACAGAAACATTGCACGCTAACTAAACCAAACANCCAGCAAATGCATTATGAATGGACAGACGGTAATTTTTCAGATGATATCGAAATCTGAATTCTTAACTATCAAAAAGAAAAAAGGCAGTGCCTGGATGTGACCAAAAACGATACGGGGAAAATCAGTTTCGGTATGGCTAAAGCTAATTGTATGCGATAGGGTGTAACAGATCCAAGTCGTTGGCAGTCAGATGGTTTCCGATGAAACCTATCGGTGCACTTCTTTTTAGTCTTTCACAACCTAAATTCATCAAGATTGCGACCGCCAAGGAGCAAAAACCAGGACGACCTGCATCCGTGGCCCATATGGGATACGATATGTGCATAGACCTTGAATTTATTAAGGGCCCCACCCCATCCCGTGTGCCCACTTCGACAAAAAATGATATAAACACAAAACTCTTTTGCATCAGCTGACTTCTCAGCCCATTTGGGCGTATCCATCTTTTAACCTTAGTTTCACCTCTCATATGGGGAGATAAATCACACTGAAAAAGTCTCACATGAAACAAACGACGATATTACAGTTGTCATGGTAACTGGAAACATTTGGTCGTACCGTATGATAGACCGTTAGAATGAGAAACAAAAAAATTGGTTACAATGGGTGAAAGGGGGTAAGGAAAAATCACTGCTCAATGAAGGAACGATGGGTGTAATTTCCGTTCGAATGACGTCAAAATAACAAAAAATTACCCGGTGGGGCGTGGTAGTATGGCATACCGAAGCAGTGTACCTGCATATGTTATAAAGTTCACCTGTGAGGCTCTTAGGGAAAGGGAAGCGATGAAGTGCAAAATAATGTGAGCCGCCTCCCAAACTAACTGCAGGGGGAACATTGTCGGGATCGACCGTGGGGGAGGAAGACTCAAAACATGGCTGAAAAGCGAATATGAATTGTCAGTACCCGCCAAATTTAAGAATGATCCCTGTGAGATTATCGATGTCTGTTTTGTTTAAAATAAGGCGTGAAAAAAGCTTTAAGCAGCATTCGTATTTGTTTCCTGCATCGATGAAGTGTTGACACGCATATAGAAGACTCCACTAATCTTTGTCAACTTCAAATCATACAAGAAAGCCATATCCATTTGCTTGTGAAGGATGGAGTGCATGTTGTAGTAGTCCGGCCAGTGTTGCAGTATGGTTCAGAGATTTGATCCTTACGGGAACCGGTTAACATAGACTATCGTTATTCAAATCCGGCCATCTACGCCACATTACACGAGTCTAGCGGAGCAACTGAACAGGTAATGACAAGGTTGGAAACAGAGTTTTCAATAATTGAGGTCACCCACTGAAACAAGGGCTCAACTTCTATAAATTATACTGTCTGGAGTACATTTTCAGAGGCACATAGTGGGCGAAAGATGAAAATTGGTCAAACCAAATCCTGACAAAGGGATTTAAAAGCCAAGGTCAGATGAAGACCAGATATATAGGTTGTGCTAGGCTCCTTGTTTAGGGACCTCGGGGTATAGTGCCAGGGATACATTTTAGGCCAAGAACACTGCTCTATGGGAGGAAATTCATTCCACTCTTTTTTACACTGGATCGAGCATTCTGAAGAACATCCCCTTATGGCAAAGTTCAACCAGCCCCCCACGCTGGCTGCCNCCACGCTGGCTGCCCCAAGCAGCTCTCTTGAAAGTGCAGCCTGGCCGATACCCACGGGACCGCTCACAGAGGCGGAGATTCGAAAGGAACGTCACAAGGCAGCTGGATCAGACGGCCTGCTACCTGCTCTCTTTAAAGATAGTGGAGATGCTCTCGTAAGCGAACTTGTGAGACTGTTCTCGAATATCTGGGAAACTGAAAGTGTACCACACATATGGGGAGAATCGATTGCCACACCCATCTACAAGAAGGGCTGTCGCAACGCCTGTTCCAACCACAGGGGCATAAGTCTGATTCCAAAGCGCCGAAGCTGCTAGCGTCCGTTTTATTACGCAGGTTATGCCCATTCCGTGAGAAGCGAATTCGTCAGGAGCAGGGCGGGTTTCGTGCACGCCGCGAATGCATAGATCAAATTTTCATCCTCCGTGAGCTACTAGAACACCACCACACATACAGACGACGAACCATTGTCGTGTTTTTATACATCAGAGCAGCTTTAGATTCTATCGATCGCCTCACACTATGGAACTGTTTGCGGAGATACGGAGTACCCGAGAAGTATGTTTTACTCCTAAATGCGCTCTATCGCCAGACTTCGGGGAAGGTTAGGGCCTATGGTGAATTTTTACCCTGATTTCCTGTCACCAGTGGGATACGACAGGGTTGCCCTACCTCTCCGTTTCTCTTCAACTTTGCCATAGGTGATGTCCTACAAAACGCGTTACATAACGCAGCGAACGCTGGCGTCGAGCTTCTTCCTGGGGACAGAGTCGTCGACTTAGAGTACGCCAATAATATTACCTTACTAGGGGACAACGCACCAACGATTCAAGAGTCGTTGAACCGTTTGGCAATT